ATTTGCAACTGGAGGTGCAGCTAGAAGCCATGGAACTCGTGGAACAGCCCTTGCTTTCAATTTTGAGAAAATAAAAGGTAATTTAGGTTTACTCTTTACTTATTCTTTTGTTTGAACTATGTGTAAACTATTAGATTTCGTTTTTGATAAACTTTCTGCTTTAATCATGAGCTAAAACTCATAAATTCTGTTTAGGTAGATGAATTTGTGAACATGGATTGATTATTTAATTAGGATTAATTTTAATTGGTGATTATGTATTATTAAGCTTGTTAAAGAACCTTATGTGTTAACAATAACTATTCTTCTGTTAATAAATCAGTAATTAAGTTGTATAAACATCTCTTAGTTATTAATTTTGTATGATTTATTGTGACCACATAGTTATATGTCTAGGAATAGTGAATGTGAAACTATAATTAACTAGAAGATAGGTAATTTAATGTGTGAGCTTCTTTGATGAACATCAAAAAGAGGTTAATTGAAGGGCCAATTTAATTAACCATTACAAGTCTTATTTAACACGAATCAATAACTAGGAAATCCGTTAATTTAGACATCTGGCCACTGCTTGAGTTAATTTGTTTTCTAAGGATTGGTAATAACGAACGTGAACCTAATCACACTAATCGGTAGCCAATGCCAATTAATCCATTGCACTTGTCTTAAAATCAACCATAGGAATAAATGATTCGAACCTAAACAGAAGTCTCCTTAATTATTGAATTTAGTTGATTTTTATTTACTTAGCTCTTAGTTTCTTAGTTTAAGTTTTAGTTAATTGTTTAAGTTTCTAGTATTGCAAAACTAGAGAAAACCCATTTTCTATTACTTGCTTTATTTACATAATATTAGCATTTATTTTAATTGTTTACCGTTCCCTATGTTCGATACTCTACTTACCTGAACTAAACTGCTAATCGATAGGTACACTGCCTTTCGTGTGTTTGTCTTTGTGTTTAAGTTAGTAGGATTAAAACTAGTTGGTTTACACACATCAAAGTTTAAGTTTTAAATGAATTGAAACTCCTAGATCTTTTGAGATTCATTGAACTTTTCAATAGCATGTTCAAATCTCGATTATGCCCTTCTATTTGTGACTGGGATGCCGAGGATCACAAATAAGGTGTGAATAACCATACGTATCACATGGTGCACTCAATGCTACTATCACCTAATCAATATGCCGGTTAGCCACACACGCTCCATTGATCTATGACAAACATCGAGCCACCCTTCGCTACCAATATCATCCCCAAATTAGTGTGCCGGTTAACCACACACTCTCCACTAACGTTTGACAAAGGCACGAAGTGTAATTCCATGGATTAACATACAATTTCACATTTTGCCTAAAGTAACTATGATTTGGGAATTTGTAAAAGCATTTAGTTACTTTGTACTTCATTATACTTATAATGGAAGGTTTCTGTCCTATCCTACCCGTTCGGTTAACGACCCTCCACTAGTCAAGAGTGTGGTGGGTAAGAGTGGATACCCATTCAATCGTCATTTTATAAGCAATGTCCTTAAACACCCCTTATAGACCAACTTCGTGAATGATGCCTACTAACGGTAAGACTGATTTTTTATTCATATATATATATATATATATATATATATATATATTATATATATATATATATATATATAATATTAGACTTTTAATGTTATATATAGTATAGGGTGTATTTTACAATTTTAAAATACTAGGTGGTCTAATTTAGTAAATTATACTTTTAATTTATTTAAATGCAAACCAAAACTTTATGGGTTTATTAATCTCTTTTAATTATACACTTTAATAAATTAATAAAACCATAAGGGTGTAAATTGAACCTTTTCAAATTACTTGGGTTTTAGAATTTCAAATTTCAAATTAAAACTTTTAATTAATTTTAAAATCCAAAACTTGAGGGTAAGTTTTGAAACTTTTCAAAACATTAGGGTTTAACTTATTTAAATTTCAAAACAAAGCTTTTAAGTTTAAATTTAAACTATAAAACCTAAAGGGAGTAATTTGAAACTTTTTCACAAGATAATTCAAATATAAAATTACAAATAATCAATCTTTATCTAATAAAACAAAAGATTATCTAAATTTAGACAATTATCTTCTATTTTGGTAACGATAATCACCCAATATGATAAAATTCAGATTTTATTGACAAAAAACGTTTTAGGTAATTATCCACAGCCAAAACATGTCAAAAATCCGCAAAAACAACATTCTGCGTCTCAGACTCATCGAGTCAACACTGGACTCGTCGAGTACACAGTGGACTCGGCAAGTTCAGCCATGGACTCGGCGAGTGCAGCCCCCAAAAACTCAAAATTTTCGGTTTTAAGCTTGAATAATCTAATATAGCATTAAATACATTAAAAAAACAGCCCTAGGCTTTGATACCACTGATGGGTTTTGAGCAAAACATCATTTCTATGGTGTACATGCAATCCCTAATAGCTTTTGGATATAGTTTGTCTAATGAACATGCAATTGAATATCCAAAGCTATAAACCTAGATCTAGCATACAAATAATCATATTAACATAAAATAGGGTTTTGATCTTACCTTTGATTGTTATATAGCAATAACAATCAATCCTTGGCTTCAGAAAGCTTAGTGCCTCAAGTGTTGCACCTCTAATGGAGTCACAAACACCACTAAGCAACTTAGATGAAGAGGGAGGAGAGAAGAGGCACCAAAAACGGCTGGAAACCCCAAGGGAACACTTAGCCACGTTTTTGGGGCATACGGGCCCTTTATATACATGTAGGCCATTAGCGTTTGCAACTAGGAAACCCTAATTTGACTGCTTAGGCCTAAGCACCCCATGGACTCCTTTAAGATATCCCTTGGACGAATTCCTTATGGGCTTACCATATAATTCGTCCAACCTATATATTATTATGTAATCCATAGCCCAATTGCAATTATCTTATAATTACAACTCCGGTCCCCTAAGTTTAATTAATCTCTTTTAACCACAAAATTAATTCTTAGTTAATTCTTGACTAATATTAATTAAACATTATGATTTATCCTTTAATATATTATTCTTTTAATATATTGATAAATCATAATTAAACCTTTCTCTCCTTAATTCATCCTACATATTGCTATGGTGAAGGCAACCCAAAAGGACCATGCTCATAATCGGGTCAAGTACATACCAAAATAGTTATGGACTTAGACACTAATTCAACAATATTAATCAATGATAGAAATTTAAACCCAAAATTTATTGGAAATAAAGCAGAGAATCAAGATCTAAAAGCTCCTACTTGAACCAGCACCTTACACCAAGCTTCTCTTCCTTCAAAGAGTTTCAAACACACCAAAACACACACACAATGAGCTCACAACACTCAAGGAGGCTCTAGGGTTTCGAGATTAGGGTTAGGTGCTATGGAGGCCGAGAATGAGGCCAACACCTAGGACTCAAAGATGTTTAAATAAGGTGTAAAATCCTAAAATTAGGGTTTCTCAAACAACGTCCAACTCGTCGAGTTTCCTTCACCAACTCGTCGAGTTTGTCCATAAAAACGCGTGTCCTTCGAAAAGTGAATTTATTCCACAATTGATCTTCTAGATTCTGGGTGTTACAATTTGTGTATCTAATATTATTTTTTTTCGAAATGAAGAAAAAACCCATAGTGTAAGTCTCAAAATCGAGATATCTAATAAACAATAACACGGGTTAACTTCTGAATCAATCAAATTTGTTAATTCATCGTATTATACTTTTCTTTTTCCTTTTATCATAACTCTGTACTTTATATTTTCTTATTACAACATGCACTTTAAAATTATTTTTTATTAGCCCATTTGATAAATATATTTAGTATAGTAAGGCTATTCGAAATGGCAAGCAATTCACGTGTGAGTTTCCTATGTGGCACACCAACCCACTAGTGAACATTGTTGGTTGGGTGTGGAATGAGCTAAAGTGGTGGTGAAGACGGATAAAGACATTCAATGGGAAGGAAGTGGGCTTTCAGCAAACCAATGGGAAAGAGGCTGTTCTTTTTAATCCATTGCAAACCCAAAAAAAATTTTAATTTTTAAAGGACTAGTGGTAACAATTTTCAAAGGTTAGTGGTTTGGTAGTGAGCTTGTAAGGGTGACACTGAGTTGACAATACTTTTTGAGTGGGTTGAGTGTGACCACTCCCATGACCTAATAGATAACCTATTGATAAAAATTATGGTGACATGACACCACTTAATAAAGAGCTCTTTTTCACCGGCTAGATGTCCCACCTTTCAAGTAGAAGTCACAAGTTCGTCTATTGCCTTTAGTACCTCTTCATTTTTCATTTTAAACAATTACTTTTTAAAATACCTATTGATTACCGGTAAAAAATAATAGTAAATGGAAAAAGATGTTGGGGCTAAATGCATATTGAGACATAAATGTTGTAGCTAAATACAAACGGAGGAAAATTTATATTTGCCAAACCAAAACATCATCATAAGTTCATAACGAGAGTGATTGGCCAAGGGCCAAAAAGTGAAAAATATAAATAAATAATTCAAGATATAATGGCATGTAAGAAAAAAAAAAAAAGGAGTATTAAGTAAACAAAATTTTCGAGGTTTTAAAGTATATGGACTTTCTAAGTAATTGTTGTAGTTTAAAGTTTAAAATGTAATAAGAGTAAACTATTGAACTAACACTTAATATCATATACGTTTATCTCGAAATTTGAATCCTTGACCTAAAAAAAAATACCTAATACCGTTAGACTAATAACTTTTTAGTATATAATTCAATGGACTAGTAACTTTTTAGTATGGAGTAATGTACAAGCTAAAAGGGTAAGTAGACGTTAAATCGTGGAAATCTATATAAGAAAACAATACATAGCAAGGTCTAAGTCATTTATTAGACGATATTGTAACTAGAAGTAAACAAAATGGATAGAGTTTAGGAGTTTTAAGCACGCTTAAGTCAAATGTATGAAAAGTGAAAAGTGAAAACGATGGATAAATCGAGGTTGAATTCGAATATATTAATTAAAGCATATAAGTGCTATATATAAGATAAAAATGTCATTACAATCTCTAAAGTGAGAATTAGCACACGAAACATTATTTACAATTTATTTTACAACGCATGTAAATCATGCTACCCTTCTCTCCTCTTCTTAACATCATATCAAAACCGTCATCCCTCATGTCATGGTGTCTTGTTTTAAAGAATAAAACATTAATTTACTCGACCTCCTAACAACACCTCAAAGCTCAAAATGCCAAAAAACATAAGTACTTCATCATTTTACGTCCTTTCTTCTTACTAACACTCTCCTTCTTGTCCTCTTCAAACATAACTTCATAACAACTACTCGAAGATTTTGTACTTGTCTTTATAACACCATTTGAAGTACTTTTGTTCATATCCTCCTCTTTTGCTTCGCATGTCTCGCTTTTAACAGACACTATCAACAAATACTACAATAAGCACAGGGTTGATAGAATCAAGATTCAAGAAAAGGGAATTTTCCAGAAAAACGAGCTTATAGGAGTATTATGTTTATATACCTGTAGTGTTGGGACATATGACTAGCTTTGAGTTTATAGTTGCAGAAAGATTGAATTTGATACTTGAATGTTTCATATTTTCGTCATCATCTAATTGTTGTAACAACGCCATTGAGTCAAAGTATTCATCTGATGTCATGGTCAAACAACTTGAATTTGCAGAACTTGAAGAACATGAACCTGGATCATCAACAAGATCGTTCAACTCAAAAAAGTCTCCGGTCAAAATACATTCCATATCCGACGAGTTTTCAACTGCAAAAAATATTCTGCTTAGTGCTTTTTGATCGTTTACATTGATTTTGTACTCTTGCATCACCCAATCAGTCTTTCGTTCATGTGGGGTCTTCCCTTCGTAAAACCTGAACGTAGTTCTGAAACCACAAATGGCGGAATTAGAGAGTATCTCGCATGGTTCCCCTGTTTCTACCCAGAATCCGAACTCTGATTCAGTTTTCACAACTGGACAAAAGTACCACAAGTCACCTGCAAGATTATGATTCAACGACGATTAGAACAAGATCAAGAACCTCGAATTCAAACATTGATTACTAACCAGGTAGATCTTGGGGACGATACTTGTAAGGATTTATTTCAGATTCTACATTCGAAGGTAGAGATTTTCCGTTTTTGAAATTTAACAATGACATACAGATGCCTTCATCTGTCCAGTATTCATTTTCAATTTCATGAGGACTTGAAGATGGAGGAGACATTGCAGCTTAATTAATCTTCACCTGAATTATCAGTTTAACCATAAAAAAATCAGAAAGCGAAGAACAGCAAGAACAGACATCATCAATCTTTTTTCTCAAATTCAATCAGCAACCGGAAATAGAAACAAAAACATTATGCGTAAAATGAAAAACCCGATCAAGCTACTTTCTTTCCAAATAGTAATACAGTCACTCCATTCAAACAACACCCAAATCAGCAATTCAGTATACAGTCACTCAACTCAACGAAGTTCTACTGTACACACAGAATCGCAAACATCAAACAATACCACGCCTAGGAATACATATAAACTTGATAAAAATTTCAAGGTGTATCAGCATTCGAATTGAAACAAACCCAGAATGAAACCCGGATTACGTGAATTCGGATGAAAATACACCGACCACTTGATAGATAATAGTTTCAGAATTTTCCGACAAAGATCAAGAAATACCTGTAAGTAAGAAGAGTCACCGGCGATCGGCGCAGTAAACTCTCTCTCTCTCTCACACACACACACAGACCGTTTACTGTTTGTTTTCTTTTGCTTAAGAGAGCGAACAACGACGAAGAGAATGTGAGGGTATTTATAGGGAAAATATCTAACAGTGGTTAACACTTGACACTCAACATGGACGCATAGTTAACGGAGTAAACAATAGTGGATTTGTGTGTCTTGCCGATGATCGATTGTTTCCATACGTGTCGCCTTTTCATTCGTTTGATTGTATAATGTATGGAGAGGGCGTAGTGTTATTATCGAAGGCTCACGTTACACCAAGTGACGATTGAGTTAGCGTTAAATGCGCGTTTCGAAGAAGCTTCTCTTCTCCAATTTTTAATTATTATTCCGTACACCAGGAAAAATTTATATCAATTTTGAATTATCTTTATCATTTATAAAACTAAGTTTTTTTAGTTTGAAAATATGTTTGTAAAATAAAAGTTAATTAAAAACTAATTTGTTTTAACTTTAAACCATAATGTGTTTGTTAAATCGGAACGAATTTGAAAATTATATTTGTTTAGAAACCAAAAGAGAAAGGATATCGCATGTTTTCGATGAATTAAATTACATATAGTTTAACAAAATAATCTCATATTAAATAATGGTAGAATGTTTTAGTAAATCAAAAATAATAATAAACTTTGTTAACAAAAACACGTAATACTTGGGTTTTGCTAAAAACGCAAAACCTTTTTATTCTGAATTGTTCTAAATATACAAAATCTTCTTTGTTTGCAAAGATATTTTTTTGCTAATAAGGTAATTCTTTTTTTCTTTTGTCTAGGTAAAAACTTATTCGACGTGTTCATATATGACGATTATGACCGGCTATAATAAATTATAACCTATCATAAAAGTTATATGTGAATACTTCCAACAATTTGTTATCTAGATGTGTATTAAAAAAATTACTAAAATGTAAACAAAATGAAAAGTTAATGACCCTAATTAATAAATTTTTATTTTTATTAAGACAATCGATGATAATGTTTGTAATATTAATAGATTCAGTTAAATTTCTTTAAAATAATATTTACGATTATTTATGAGCCTTTAAACTGGTTACGATATGTTGGGAGTCGTTTTGGATATATATATATATATATATATATATATATATATATATATATATATATATATATATATATATATAGAGAGAGAGAGAGAGAAAAGAGTGAGAGAAAGAGAGATAGACCAATAACATGAAAAAGAACACTATCTTCAATGAAGTTTGCTCCATGTATTAAAATCTACATCGATATATATATATATATATATATATATATATATATATATAATATATATATATATATATATATATATATATATATATATATGAATGAGACAAAAGCAATGTTATCAATGTAGATTTTAATCCATGGAGCAAACTTCATTGAAGATAACGTTCTTTTTCATGTTATTGGTCTCTATCTTTGATAATTAGTCTCTAGTAAATTTTAATTTTTATATTTAATACCTTAAACAATAAAATTCTATAAAATGACGATATGTATTTTTTCCGGTCAAATCTCAAGTTTTATTTTTTATTTTTTTACCAAAGTAGTATGTTTTAAAAAGATACGCACAACTCCGACTTGTAAGAGCCAGTCCCAATCACAACGAACAACCTCTACCTCAGCTCGAGCCTCCTCGAGGAGCTTATCGCGGTCTCAAACATCCCGACTCTCATTTTGAATCATGAGCCCCTCGTTAGCCTTGGGTCAATGAGTCCACTTTTGCTTCCAATGCAGATCAAATTTCTTCCGCAACAGTTTTCTCTTAAGAAAGCAGGGCACACCTTTGGTCGAAATCATGAACATCCTTCTCGAGCTCAACAATCTGACGTTTCAGTTCGACCTCTCGAGCACCTTAACCCGTATGTGCATGACATGTTATGAGCCAATGCGGGGCTGCCCATGGCCTCCACATCGGTGACGGCAGCAGGTCGAAATGCATGGCAACCAAATTCCACAACACTGGTCCGGACAAACAAAGGGAATCATTCTGAAAACTCCAAGAAGGAACAAACACGTTAGATCTGAAATTACCCCTAACAGGAGCTCCTCCGTTGTGCAGGGTTTTATGCAACTCGAACCCCCATTGGGACCCTTAGGGGGAGAAAGATCAGAAGAAAATTGTTGAATAGGTTGGACAGAAACAATGGGCTGCTTAATCGCCCCTTGACCCCCTCAAACTGTTGCGCGTTGTCATCAGGGATCACAACAACCGCTTCAGGCGTAGAGGAGATCGAGTTCAATAAACGAGTAAAATTGTGCCATGAGTGAACCAACCTCACGATGTTAAAGACATCAGTAGAGGTCTCTCCCATGGCCAGGACGGCCTTCCTCTTAGCCATGGCTCACCGAACGTCAGTAATAATGTCATCCTTGTTATCCTCAGCTACTTCTGTATGGCCATAACCAACAACATAAGGTGGAGAAACCGTCGTCATGGGTCGAGCAGCCTGACAAGTGGAGGAAGCGTTTCAACGAGATCAACCTCCCGGTGCTCCATCTTCCCCCGATACCACTTCCGTAGTACTTCGTCCATAGAAAGAGGGGATTCAGCACCTGCAAAAGCAAAAGCAAGCCAAGAATACATAAACAAAATCACCATTTCAAAACATTAATCCTCCTTTTATCAGAAAAGGGGGAGGACGGAGAAGGTATAATAGTAGGAAAGAAAGCAGAACTACCCACCATCAGTAACAGTGTAAAAGATGGGCATCTTCCCTCGACGCCTCCAAGAGGGGCTCATCTCGACACCGGCAAGCAAAACCTACGAGTATTCCTCAGGCTCAACCTGAATGGTCTTAAGAAGATCAGTAATCGCCTGACTATGAGGGTATTGATGGGTTTTGGCCATAAGAACATCATATGTGCTCATGCAAATCCTAATGCTTGGATCTAGGTTTCTCTATTGTACATGCATTCATCCGAGACTTTAAAACCTAGATCTAGAATGTGATAATCGATATTAACATAAGAATACGGTTTAGATCTTACCTTGATTTTTATGTAGCAATAACAATCTCAAATCCTCCTTGTAATGGCTTCAGAAAGCTTAGAGTCACAATTGTCAGTCCTCTAGTGGCTCACAAACACCAAGAGCAAGAGGATGAAGAAGGAGAAGAGGAGAGGCACCCAAAAACGTCTAGAAACCCTAAGAAATCAGTTAGCCACGTTTTTGGTGCCCTAGGGGTCCTTAAATATGTGAGGTTATTAGGGTTATCTAACAAGGAAACCCTAATTTGACTGCTTAGGCCCTAAGCAGCCCATGGACTCCCTCCTTTGAGGCCTTGGGCGATTTCTAATGGGTTTCCCCATAGAATTCTTCCACTCCATCCTTTATGGAGTCCATTAGCCGAATATTCAACTATCACACAATTGACAGTTCAAGTCCCCTTTATTTAATTAATGTCTTATAGTCATAAAATTAATTCTTAATTAATTATTGACTAATATTAATTAAACAATATGATTTCTCCTTTAATATATTATTCTCATAATATATTAATAAATCATAATTAATCCCCTCTCTCCATAATTCATCCTATCAAGTTGCTTTGGTGAAGGCAACCCAAAAAGACCATGCAGTATCGGGTCAAGTACATACCAAAATAGTTATGGACTTAGACACTAATCCAATAGTCTCCCACTTGGATAAGTCTAATAACTATTATGCGTATGACTTCAGATCCTGATCCACAATCATAGCTTTCAAAAGCCGATGTCAACTCTGATTTTATCAGATACGCGTCCTTTAGATATAGGATCATATATTCCTCCATTATAGATATCATAAAGACGTGAGACATGGATTGAAATCATTCTCTCAGTCTATGTGTTGTTTCCCGATTTCTGATTTATGACGAATGACAACAGACTACAATTGAACACATCAAATTAGTCTCGGCTTGGCCAAGCTCTTAAGGTGTCGTCACGAAATCATCGAGGGGCCCACATATATCACTTTTATCCTACTTTAGGTAAAAGGAACGGATAAACTTTGACTTAATGCTTGTTTGTACTCACTCACTGAATTACACACAACAATATGTTTTATAACACCAAGTTACTGGTACGTTTACATATTATCAATGTGTAACCGACTCACAAGATACAACTTACACATCTTAACACATCTTGGTTTCAAGAATATAATATATTATCGTCTCACCAATCACTCGTGATAAAATCCTGAAGCGATCCAAGTGAACGTGGGTTTAATCCAATGCTCAAATCATATTCATAAGCACTCATGAACGTTGCAGCAAACATTTTCTATGTCTAATACACTTTAGGCAATCTAAAAACCCATTCATGACAATCTTCTTTCATACCTACTCCCAAAGTATGAGCGACTGTGGAACTTTCGAATAATCTTATTATTTAGGAAGTCAAAACAAGAAAAGTGAAACACAAGAATAATTAAACCCAATATGGCCCCAAACTTTTGAGTATAAATAAAACTCATTTTATTTAATCACCAGATTGATTACACATTATTCATTGTATAATGTTTTGGGTAATCAACTTATTACTTGAATTATAACAACAATTGTCCCATGCTCTTAGCATGCACACTATGTTTACATATGGTCCTTACTTTGTGAAATAGTATAATTGAATAACATTTTCAATCACACTCATTTCACAATTCCTAATCCATTAGTGTAAAAATACAAAATTCTCGCCACTACTAGAATATGTTAGGTTTTAACATTTTATGCAACGGTCCTTTCGTAATGTCACGGCACAAAGGTCACCAAGACTCGGCCAATGAAATTACAAAATACTCTATTGGAGATTGTTACAAGACAATTTCATAGTCATGAAGTCTCATATTCAAAGTACATTCCTTTCAACATCCTTCTTGCATAAAACTTTCTAATCTAGACATTTATTCTCGATATTCAACTCCCAATATGGAAACATTTCCATATTTTCCATATGACAACTTATTCTAAATAGAATCTTATCTATTCATAATAATGTCAATATGGTCCATCCATGACAATACTTTCAACTTGCTACAAGTGACCAATCATTGGCGAACCATAGATTGTCCTTGGCAGTTATTTAATTATTTT